ATGATGATTTGGGAAACAAACAGAGAGAAGTGCAGATCGCGCAGTGTATTGAAGGCATGGAGTGAGTGAATAAATTACGACGCGATCTGCATTGGAGAACGGATGACCGCAGTACAATTTCTATTAATTATTCATGAAAGAAGAAGAAGAAAAAAAAACATTTAATAGAACAACAGCGAAACAGCACATAACGCTGTGTTGTTGTCATGTCACTCATCAGATCGCGCTGTACAATTTATAGATCGGAGTGATCTCTGCAAACTTGACTGTATTTCCGGGCATTCTCAAACACCGCGTGGTGCATTTCTATCCCACACATTAATACCCAAGTGACACCATCAGATGACCAGAGGACCGGAAAATGAGGAAAATTGGTGGTCAAATGACTGCAAATTTCCCTGACACTTCTAGAATATGAAATTTTCAATCTGTTTCCACATCAAATTCCCAAATAAAAGTCAATCTCTTGAGGTTTTATTTGCGATTTCTATAAAAATCCACTTAAATCTACTGATTTTGGACATCTTTTCTGATCATAACCTCAAAAATATGATAAGAAGATGTTTAAAAATTGTATTTGAAAGCTTTCTGCATCACAAATCATCTTAAAATTGCTGATTCACAGTCAAAATTGTCCAAAAAGTTGTCTAAATTGACATTTTCCAAGTGTCCAAATGACTATTTTTAAGGTTATGTTGAATCTTAACACAATTTGAGGGATTTCTTGGCATTAAAGGAGTCCAATTCAAGGGAAAGATTGTGTTGTATTGAGTTTCCATTCGATATTTCTATAAAAATCGACATAAAAACGCTGTTTTTGACCATCTTTTTCCAACATAACCTCAAAGATAGTTATTTAGACACTTGGAAAATATCAATTTGAAGTATTTCTTGGCAGCAAAAGAGTCCAATTCAATGGAAATATAATGTTTGTAATAAGTTTCCATCCGATATTTGTGTTAGAAACCACTTAAAACAGCTTTTTTGTGTGTCTTTTCCGACCATAACCTCAAAATATCACTAAAAGATCATCAAAGGCTCAGTTTGGAAGCTTTCTGAAGTACAAAATCATCTTTTTCAAGCTGTACACCACTTCTGGCTGTAATATCTGCCCCTTGTGATCGAAAAATCTATGCAAAGAACTGACCGATTTATTCTGTCGGTGCTTCTTGGGTATATTTTTATGATTTCGATCATTGCGCCACTTATGCGTAATTATTGCCGCGCGACGGCGGACAAAAGACAGACCACCGCACAGGTGGAGGAGAGCCCGCGAGGATCGATGGTGGGATAATCGGGGCTGCTGAGGATGATCGTTTATGACTTTATGAATATTTTATCACCGACAGATGCTCAGTCGGTGCGATCTTCTTCACTCCCTTTCGCCCCGACGGCCATAAAAGACAGAGGAAAACTTTGCCAAAACTCCGGATGGCGAAGCAACAATGATTTACGATCGCGTAGAAAAAAAATCACTCTGCGCGCAGTGCCACATTTTAAAAGCCACAGCGAAAAATTTTCGCACCGCAAATTTTGGTGGTGCAATTTTCCCTCAGATGGTCACTGTTTATAGACAGCAAAAGCAATGGGGGAAAAAAAGAAAAAAAGAGGCGAAACTTTGACTTTGTCTGATATGTTTTGGGTTCACATTTGATATTCCATCGCGATTAGCGGGAGCAATTGACGTGGCGCTTTTCCAATGTGCGCGCGGTGAGACGCGAAGACTTGGGATATTTTGCTGGCAATATAAAGATCACTATCATTCACCGAATAAATCATAATGGAAGAATCTCACGGTCTTTAGACGCAATAATAATAATGCAGCAGCAGAAGAGGAATAACTAATTGTTTTCATATAAATTTTTATGATATGTATTTTGGAAAGGTGAGGAGAGAGAGAGAGTGAGAGGCATTTTTATTGCCAACCACCCATTGTTGAATTTATAGTAGCAAAAATTTGTGGTTTCTCGCTTGCTCGTCTTTTTTTTTGCTGTTATGAATTCTTAAGAGAATTTGAAGATATTTTTTTTAATTGTCAAAAATACAGTCAAATCCGTCGATTCGTCTTATAATCCAATACAATTTGATAAATAAGATGTGAAATTCATAACTTTTACCAAGACTTTCTAAGACAACCTAATGATTCTTATTACTAAATGGATAATGAAAAGTGCTAATCATTGCAATAATAATAATAATTATTAATAAGCTGTCATAAATATGATTTTACTAAAAGGCGTTGCAAGATTACGATTAGTATATTATACGAATGTGGTGGATTTATCTTCTGCGAAGCCTGAAACGTTTCAAACATTGCCGCCTGACGTTAATTCATACTTTTTTTGTGGCAAGAAAAGCCGAAAACTTCACATTAAAACCAAGGAAATAGACAATATCGTTGTTTTAATGTAAATAATCACATATTTATATGTATTTTTTCTGATCATTTTTACACATTTCAATTCACCCAGATTGACGTTATGTCTTTTCGGACATCCTTCGATCTTTTTTCAAGGAAAATTTTTGGTTTCTTAAAGCATTTTAGAAGTAAAACTTGAAAATTCATATCTTATCTTATAAGATAGAAATGTAAAGTTGCAAAGGCGTGTAGTGAACAGAAAAAAATTATACTGTTTACCTTTTACGGTGGCTTCTTAAAGCGGATACAACTTTTGTCTAAACACTTCGTGATGGGACAGGAAGAAAAAACCCGCCCTTTCTGTATAATATATGTTTTATTTGATAACAAAAAAGTAAATAAATACCATTTTCACAGTCATTATTATATAGCTCTGAAAGATACACTTTAATGCCCATTGAGTGGTTTGGGCGGAGAGAGAGAGAGAGAGCAAAAAAGAGAGGCAAGCATACAGACAGTGCACAAAAGATTGAGGCAAACCAATTCTGCGGTCACTCAATAATGAATATTTACATATTATTAAAATCCACCCATTGTGTGGAGTTTCATTTTACAATTTTTGCCTTTTTCCTCTCTCCATATCACATTAATAATTTTATATATACACATCATCATCGGGGTTTTTTTTTTTCATTCTCGAAACGCTGGACTCTTTTCACTCTAATAATAGAGTTGAGCATCAGCACACAGAAAACATGTAATTGCTACTCACTTAATGGCGATCATGCATTTACCGCAGATGTGGCCAGCAGAAGTCTCTGGTGGGGTGTGGAGAGAGAGAGAGAGAGAGAGAGAGGCAAAGAGATCCTCAACTGCTTCCATTGTCCCGAAACATGATCCCGTCTATTAGGCATCGGGTGCGAAAAATGCGGTTTCGCCTCGCCATTTACAAGCCATTCATTCTCTCTTTAAACTACTCAATCAAGGGCACGATGGAAGACAATTGAGAAATCCACCATGGAGGGCTTCATCAGCCTCTTCATCCCACCCCCACAGAGAGAGAGAGAGAGAAAAGGACAAAGAAATTGAATTCTGAGAACATTTAACAAAATGCAAATTTACTAACAAGTAAAGAAGGAAAAAAAATGCTAGAATTTTAGCAAAAAACATATAAATTGTTAAGGAAATATAATGAATTTCTTTGAACAGTCTCACAATTAGCACTTTGGCTAATTTCCCTGGACTAACTCCTCCTCCCACTTGTGACACCCGTTAATCAATTTCGGTCCGCAGATCTTCTTTTCTTCGGAGAGACTTTCGCGCGCGCGCGCGCGCGCTCACGAGAAAAGCTGCCCAATTTGCATATCGCGCAATATATGGAAAGGTTTTGAGAGTTTTCTGAGTCTCTTTAATGACGCGCAGATTCTTGAGAGGATTTTAGCATCATAAAATTTATCTGAATTTATTTATCCCAACACTCTTTCGGGGCCAATTTGGCACACTCGTCATTTCTGCGCCCAGAAAAGGCGCACTTAATTTGAAACAGAAGTATCTTTCAACACAGCCTTGACATCCAGTTTAACCCTTGACCAGAGGTCACAAAGTTTGCCATTAAATCCACGAAAGGTGCCCTAATGTTGAGTTTAATAAGTTCTTTGTCACATTGAAGAGTTTCAGTTGAAACTCCAGCAAGGACAATGGTGGAATTTTAATGGATTTCCTTGCCGGAATCACGCAAGATGATCCGTTGAAATTCCAGCAATGGCTAAAAGGACCGTAAACGGCGAATTTTTATAGATTTTCCTGCAGGAATCCTGCTGGAAATTCCAATTCCATTGGCGGAATTGCGGTAGAATTCTCCCGCAAGATTCCAGCAGTAATCCGTTATGGCAAATCTTTCGTCGCGGCGCTTCCGGTGTCTCAGCCACTCAGAAAGAGGGATTTTGCCTGCAGGATTCGTGGTGGAATCCTGCGGGACGCCTGCTTTCTACGGTCTTTAAAATGAAGGAATTTGACTTCGGTATTCTTTAAGGAATCTTGCAAGATTCGTCCACCGTTTGTCCCCCAGTTTAGACAAAAGGGATTTGGCTTTAAGGATTCTTCAGAGGAATCCCGCAGTGTGGACTCCGTCATATTCAAATGGTGGATTTCTTGCACAAATCCAGCAATTTGAGCATAATTTGAGTTTCTGGAGCATCATGATGGAATAACGATGGAAAAATCGGTGGAAAAACGGCGGATAGCGAATTGGTTTTTACTGGGTATGATATATATTATATAGAAAATGAATTGCGTAATCATAGTTTCAATTTCATTGAAAAATATCATTGCTATGACCTGATTAATCCCTTCAATTATCACACGCAAAGTACTTTAAACGTCTTATCTTAAGAGCGTCTTAGGAATCTACACATTTAAAAACAGCTAAAACACACGATCACCAAATATCGCGCTGCACGATCGCTGCTTGGCGCATCCGCCAATGTGAAATTACCATTGAAAGGAATTATACGATATGATGTATTGGCGAAATTGTTGCGCGCGACGCGAATTGATGTTCAATCCGGGGACAGAGCGGATGGAATATTTATGCGATTTATGTGGTGCAAGAAGTGATGGAATGTCGTGAACTTACACTCACCGAGTAACTTGGAGACGGCGCCCTGCTGCGTGAGCATGTGCTGCGCCAGATCGTAACCACGCAAGCTGAAGCGCGACAGCTCCAACAGACGATGCTGTGACACCAGGGCGCTCAGCGATGGGGCGCCACTTCCGCCAGCAAACTGCGCCGGCGGCACGGTGCCCGGCGATGGGACGCTGGGCGACAGGCCAACTGCAAGAGACAGAGAGAAAAAGGAGTGAGAAGAGGTCGTGATAAGCGAATGCTTATGATCAGCTGAGCGTCAAACCTTGGCTTTCAATAGAAGAATTTCAAATCGCCATAACTCAGGTTCAATGGCAGTGAAAAAAAGCTTAATCACATTTTGGAAACATCTTAAAACTAATAATTTATTGATTTTAGGAATTTGAAAATATTATTATTAAAATTAGCGCCTCTGGCGGTGGTCTGATGACTTTCAATTGTTCTCATGAGTTCTAGAGTTTTGCAAGAGTTTTTCAATGAGCCCAAAACCATTATGATCGAGCAAATAAAAACCGAAAATACACAGTTTTATAGCCGAGATACAGGCGTTCAAAGAATTTTTCAATATGGCGGCATTTGTTATGACGTCACATACTAATGGTTTATGTAGCCTACTAAAGGGCGTCGAGATACGTCTTTTGGTGAAGAGATTATCAAAATTGGTTAGTAAACAACTGAGATATGGGCTGATATAGGTCTGAACTTTGACCTTCTATATCTCCGCCCCTAAAACATCAGTCCTCACAAGTAGGATATCGTTGGAAAGGTCTCAGCCTCAGCTATAACATATTAAAATTTAAACAAAATGCATTACATTTACTCCGAGTTATTCGATTTTAAAGATTTGAAAATCGTTTTCTTGCCTTTGGCGCCCCTAGCGGTGCTTACGCCAAGTTATGATGTTCTGTAAAGAGACGGCATTTTATGAAACCTTTCCAATGAGCTCAAAATCATCTCGATTGGTTAATTAGAAGAGGAGTTATAGCCATTTTAAGTTTCAAAATTTGGGCCTTAATATCTAGGGTCCGGAAGGACCTAGGTCCTTAAGTGGTGGTTCGTTGGAAAGGTCTTGAGGTCAGCTATAACATACTAAAATTTGGGCCCAATCTACACCATAGGACCTAAGTTAATGAAGAAAAACTGTTTTGAGGATGTTCAAAATGGCGGACGGAGGGGTGGGGGGTTGGATTTGATATCACCATTCTCTAGCGGCAGTAGGATTTTTGATTTTTGGTGAAAATTTCATGTTGATATCTCCTACTGTTTAGACGCCACAAGTCCATTTACGACGGACCGACGGACGGACGGACGAACAGCACCCAAAAAAAAATGACCCCCCTCTTTTTCGTCACGTTTCCTGATGTCATTTTGGTATTTTTTCGTGTTTCAATATGTTGTGCGATCACAAGAACAGCGGGTTTCGCCCAGTTGTTGTGAAGAGAAGAGTCGCATGACTCTTGAGTCGAGGGTGGAACGCCCCAAATTATCCCAGTTGATGGTGAAATGTGCAATTTACGCTGGCTAATTGATGCCTCCTCATCGTCTTGACTAGTTAACAAGTTTTCCACACGAGCTGCGGAGTCAGTGAGAGCCTAATGAGATTTGTGATTTTGCGTGTCCACCTATTTATTAGCTCAGGTGCTGACTCATGAGCTGTTCTCCGCCAAAGTGTTTGTGTGTGCGGAAAGTTGGGGAATGTACTCAAGATCGAGATGGTTTCACACGGCAAAGGGGGAGATATTGTACTGCAGGAGAATCGCATTGCTGGAAAATATGTTTGATGACATCAGAAGAATCACAAAATTCTTATGACAAATGTCATAAATATTCTTCAATTTGACAAATTTTATCCATTTGTCAAATTAAAAAAAAAATCATTTTAATAATTTTCCTGGCCATGTGAATAATTTAACACAAATTTGATTTTTTTTTAATGAAATTTAGTACTGCAAAAAAAAAACAAATTAATAACTTGTAAAAAGAAATTTAATGAAGACTGTCTATAAAATCCAAGGGGAAAATCACAAGGCGATTTTTGAAGAAAATTTATGTTTTTTTTTTATCAAATAATCAATTATTTGAGTAAAATAATAAAAAAAAAATTATTTTCCCACAAGTTTTTCCAAGTAAAATTGAAAAATAATCAAAATCTGAACAAAATGATTTCAAAAAATGTTTTTTTTTCCTATTTAAAATAGTCAAATTCGGAATTAAATAATCAAAAAAAATTATTATTTTCCCAAGTACAATTGAAAAATAATCAAATTTTAAATATAAAAGATTATTTATCCAAGTGAGATTATAAAAAAAATCAAAGTTTAAATAAAAAGTAATGAAAAATTATTATTTTCCCAAATTAAATTGAGAAATAATCAAATTATGATTTAAATAATAAAAAAAGATTATTTTCTCAACTAAAATAGAGAAAAAAATCAAAATATTATCAATTACTGAATTAAATAGTCAAGAGTTAAAAAAAAACAAAAAAAACAATTATTTTCAAAAGTAAAATAACAAAAAAATCGAAATAATCAAATTCTGAACTAAATAATTAAAAAAAAAAGAATTTTTCTCAAGTAAAATTGAAAAATAATCGTAATTTGTCTGAAATCATCAAATTTTAATAAAATATTCAGAAAATAATTTAAAAATAATCCAAATTTGTATAAAATAAACAATTTTTAATGAAATATTCAGAAAATGATCAAATAAATGTGAATTTTGTATGAAATAATCAAAATTTGTTCAAATATTCAGAAAATAATCAAAGAAAAATGATTGAATAATCACAAAAATAATGTTCTCAAATCACTAATGATTTCCCCCTTGATAAAATCAATCACATAAATATTTATCCACACTGATTGTGGTAATTTTATGATGTTTGCCCAGAATTCGTCAAGTTCACCCTGTTTTTTTGTGGTTTCTGCATTCTTTCTCCATTTGTTATGGTCTCTCGCGAGTCTTCCTTTTCTTTGCGCGCGCAAAGGTAGAAAACTTTGAGTGATTCTTTTGGGCTCCACACAACACACAATCGGATTTGCCGTAAACACACTGGACAAGTTCTCAGTGAACATTTGCACTAATCGCATTTTAATGATTGTACATCAAATTCATATTATACGCCGTCGCCTTGTTGCATTTGTGCCACTCTGGCGAAGAGATTCACTTTGTGTGCAATTTTATGCACATTAGTCCACCTCAATTGCACAAAAAACTCCGCGCGCAACAATATAAACACATGCCAATTTAGTCCAATCTTGCATACATATATATGTGTGTACAAAATCGAAATGCATGAAAAGTTAATTAAATTACTATTAAATTTTATACACTTGTGTGTCTCATACAGCTTAACGACGTGCACACGGGCAATTTAGCGCGATGGGGCGAAGAAGAGAGAGAGAGAGTGGAAGACCCAGTTGAAGGTAAATCCCATTGATTTTCGAATTAGGCTTCGACAGAAGGAAATTGACAAAAGGGGGAAAGTCACTCGCAATTTTAGACCATTAATTTTCTTTTCATTCCATAATTTTTATTCGATTATTTGTGATTTTTACTCATTTTTTCATTATTTCATACAAAATTCTGATTGTTTTTTGATCATTTCTGAATATTTGATAAAAAATTGTTTTTTTTCTACAAATTCTGATTATTTTTAGATTATTTCCTGAATATTTAATAAAAATTTGATTATTTTATACAAAATTCTGATTATTTTTAGATTATTTCCAGGATTTTTCATTAAAATTTGATTATTTTGCAATTTTACTTTGGACAATAATTAATTTTTTTTAATAAAATAATTAATTAAAAAGGAATGATTTCATTAGAAATAATAATTTTTTAATATTTCATTGAGAATTTGATTATTTTGCAATTTAACTTAGGAAAAAAATATATTTTTTTAAATTATTTTTCAATTTAACCGTGGAAAAAAATCATTTTTTTAACTATTTTATTAAAAAATTTGATTATTTTTCAATTTTACTTACAAAAATAATCATTTTTTGAATTCTTTTTTACAGAATTTGGTTATTTTGATTTTTTTTTGTAATTATACTTGGGGAAATAATCATTTTTTTAAATTATTTCATAAAAAAATTTGTTTTGACAAAACAAAAAAAAATTTTAATTTAACTTGAGAAAATATTTTGTTTTTTATTTAATTCAGAATAAATATTTAAATATAATTAATTTAAATGTCTTGTTGAAAATATTAAAGTTTTTTGGTTATTTTGCAGGGTATTTTTTTGGTGGAAAAAATTCATTATTTTTTTTTAAATTTTCGACTGAGACCATTAAGATTCCTCAGAAATCGCCTAGTGTGTTTCCCTCTGGGTAATTGAATATTATGCGAGAAAAAGGGTTGAATCTCCACCGATGAGGGAGAGAGACTTTATCGCGTCCGGTCGCTGTAAATTGTGTCTTCCAACCAAGAGAGAAAGACACACACACGAAAAATCAAACCTTATCGCTTGTCGATCATCGCCTCCAAATTGCCAAATCACAAATTGTGTGGCCCTCCTTGTGGGATCACCCGCGAGAGTCCGTCCGGGTGGCGCGCAAAGCATCTTCCACCCATGGCTCTCTCTCTCTCCGTGGGGAGATTAACCGGATAAGATAGACCCCCTATCCGGTGTGATCTCGATGATCATCAATTGCAGAGCGGAGAATTAGCAAATTATCCTGTCCATCTCTCTCTCTCTTTCTCTCTTTTCTTCAAGGGGCAGATATTACAATCAGAAGTGGTGTACAAAAATATATATGCTGAAAAACCTTCCATTTCACCCAAATTGAGACATTTTTCCAATTAATTTTACTCAAAAATCAATTTTATTGCTTTTTTGAGGTTATGTTTATTTAAAAAACAGATTAAATTGTCAAATTTTTCTGTTTCTTGGCAGATTTGAGCATTTTTATGCGGAAAAAACTTCATTTTGATTGAAAAAAAAGCCTTAAAGGCAAACATAACCTCAAAAATATCATCTTAAATGCTGAAAAATGTCTCTTTGCCTCGGTTATTTTCGCAGATTTTTACTTTACAAGAATATTTGCAATTTAAAATTTAAGTCATTTTCTACATAATTCTGTTTAGAAAAAAACAGTTTTCTTGCTTTTTCTAGGTTATGTGTTTGATTTAAGAGAGATTCAGGTGAATCAAAAATCCTCAAAATCATGAAAATTGT